TTTTTTTTATTGTTTGAACAAGAAATACCCATTCATCAAACCATCTAAACGAGCTTAATAAATTTTATTTTATTTTATTTTTTAATAATAAAGGGTAAGTGATTTAATATATGAGAAAAAAAGATGAAAAAAGGATTACATAGATTTGAATCCTTACCAACAAATAAAAAAAACTTTTTAAATTTAGAGATTTGGTTAATTTACCTAGCCTTCCTTATTATAATTTTAATATTATGGTGTATCTTATAGAAGATTGAGCTTTTTTTTGGTTGGAACTGTTGCCATGTGACCCTACGTCCTTATGGTTCTCGTAATGAGTATTAAATTGATATTTGAGCACTGGGATGACGCTAGTATTTAGAGAGTCTGTAGATAATATGACTTGCTTACGAGAATTTAGTAATGAACCCACTACACTGGCATATGAGGATGATTTGACTTATCATCCAGCAGTGGCAGAAGAAGGAAAGAAACAAGTCCATTTCTAGATTTTTGTTGCATAAATGTTTGCATTTAGATCAAATACAAAATGCTACATAATTAGGAAAGAAATTCTAGTAGAGGATGGATGCATTCTGCCTGCAAAATGGGCTTTTTTTTTTCTTTTTTTTTTTTTGAGGATATATTTTTCCTTCTACTTTCATGCATCTTCCTGTGAATGGGGATTGGCCATTCACATAGATCAAACATTTTGATCGGTTCTCATTATCAGTGGCTTGCAAATGCAATGATAAAACTCCTGCTTTAATTGGCACAAAGTACCAGAGACGGTAGACAGAAATAATTTTAACAATCTTTTTTCATAATCATGAAAACGGACATGAAGTTTCAGATTAAATGTATTGATAAAGAAGTGTATGATTCTGTTTAGAGGACCTTTATTGCTCACTGATCTCCTTTCCTGGGTACACTATTTCTTCATTTTTGTTTATTTTTCAAGGCTCAGTAAACTATGTCATTGTTTTTAATTCTGCATGTTCTCTGCCTGTTCCATGTCCTAATTTAGTCTCTGTTAATTTATTTTGATTGCCCCAAAGAATCCTTTTACTTTTACAGGCTAAGAAGGCCTTATTGAGCAATGAACTTCAGGTTACAGATACAGAACATGGACAATTGCTTTTGGCAATTAATTCAGATGTGTTGGTCAAAATGATAAGGTGTTTGTAACTCTTTCATTCTATTCCTTTTCTATATCTTAGTGTGGTTTTTCTTATCATTATGTTCACACAAAATACAGGTATCCCGTGTTTTTCCCTTCTTAACATACTTGATGCAGTGAAATAGGGAATGATGAAAATGTAACCCCTATGTTCAAGATTCAAAGAAATTCCTGATTCTACTTCTAATTCAATTGCAAGATCATGCAGAAAATAAGGAAGATTTATAATTTTTCCGTCCTTAATGTGAGTAAGTAGTGACTGCCTCTGCTGAAGTTGGTTTGCCATTTTGATTTAGTTGTTTGTTGTATTAAACTGTCACACATATATTCACTGGTTTCTTTACCTTTGAAAAAATGAAGTCATTGCCAATACAAAGGCTACTAACCATTTAAAAGAGCCTCAACGTTTTAAATTTAAAGTAAAGCGTTGGGCCAAATGACCATGTTGTTGTGGTAGATTGAAAACTAGATTTAAAGAGGCTCTTAATTTGGTTGAGTTTGGCACAAACAGGATTTCAATTTTGTTGCGGCAACCTGAAAGAGACCTGGATTTGATGATATTCTCTCTGTTTGGTTGTGAGCTTGAGACAGACTGGATCTGATTTGCTTGTAACAACCTGAATAAAACCTGAATTTGAAGAGGTCATATTTCCAAGTCATTGAATTTCCATATTTTGTTACTTTCACTACATGCTGCTATGCTTATTCAGTTATTTTGCTGAATTGACACAGCTTTATCCACTTCAGTGATTCAATCACAATTAATATGTATTTTATGTTACACACGCCTTCATTCATGACATGGAATACAGCCGATGATTCTTGTGAGCACTTTTTTGATATTGTTGCAGCATTTATAACATTTCTGACCCAGCAGCGGAGAAGGCAAAATTAATCCTAAGGGTAATTTTTGTTCAATCTTTTTAAGCAATACTTGTCTTACCATTCTTTTTATTAATTGTTATTTTGTCATAAGAGCTAATATTTGGTTCTAGAGTTCTAACACGAAGGCTTCATAAATTCACCAATTTGGTTTAGGAGCAAGGAAAATCCATCATTGAGCCACTTGCTAAACTTTCTGAACTATCAGCTGATTGTGAGTTCATTTCTCTTTAACAACATAGGTTCTTCTTTGAATTGTTTATGTTGATATATATACATGTTTACCTTCCCAGGCCTAGCATGTCGGTCACATGGTTATCACCCTATAAGGTTTAGATATAAGCTGAAACTATCTGACTAAAATTCCACTAATAGTTTGGTAGATTAGAGAGATGCTCTTCGGTAGACAAGGTAACCCACATTTGGAGATATTTGCATATAACGACTTACAATAGGCTGTGGTATCAAGCTATACAAATGCTGTTCATACCATGATGTTCTAGAATTTCTTCAGTCATAGGATAACTGTTCTACGTATCAGGTTTTTGTACTAGTTGTGCCGGGCTATATGGCATTCATTCGATCTCTCTTGTGTGTGGTTGGCTGGGATTGGATAAAGAATGATGGGATCTGGCCTTTCTGAAGCTCATATTACATTCTCATGGATGCAGTTGGGCACATTTTTCCAGGTTTGGCCATGTTACTTATCCAGGCCGGGTAACACCAATAATGCAATATGCATATGTTGTTGTCCTTTAGCTGTGGTTCTTTAGCGGCATATTTGTTGTACTAAAGAAAGACATGG